AAAAAAAAAAAAAAAGAATAATTTGGGTTGGCCAAGTGCAGTGGCGCTCATGCCTATAATCCTATCACTCTGGGAGGCCAAGGTGAGTGGATTGCCTGAGCTTATGGCTTTGAGACCAGCCTGAGCAAGAGCAAAACCCCATCTCGAAAATAGCTAGGCTTTGTGATGGGCACCTGTAGTTCCAGCTACTCAGGAGGCTGAGGCAAGAGAATCACTTGAGCCCAAGAGTTTGAAGTTTCTATGAGCTATGCTGCCATGACACAAGAGCAACAAAGTGAGACTCTGTTCCCTCTCCCCCCAAAAAAGAATATTTGGATCATCTTATATATTTTTCTTTTCTTTTCTTCTTTTTTTCTTTCTTTCTTCCCTTTCTTTCCTTCTTTCCTTTTCTCTCTCTCTCTGTCCCCCTCTCCCCCTCCTCCCCCTCTCTCCCCCTGGACAGAGTGTTATGGTGTCATACCTTATAGCAACCTCAAAAAGGGAACCTCTTGCCTCAGCCTCCTGAGTAGTGCTGGGATTACAGGTATGAGCCATCATGCCCAGCCCATCTTATATTTTTGAATTGCCATACATTTTTCTGTTATATATCCTAAGGATATGCTTAGAATGTGATGGATTCTCCCTCCATCTTATAATGAGAAAATTAATATTTAATGAAGCAACTTGGCTGGTCAATGGAAATCTGAATCCAGAAATCACATCTCCTAAATCTAATTTTGGTGTTCTTTTTACTGCACAGTGCTACCTGCCTAGAATTGACTATAGCTTTATCTTTCATTGGCATGCAGCTTTTGAAAGGTACTATGAAGCAGATATTCCTAACTTTCATATTCTAAGTACAAGACCTGTGTGGTTCCAGACAGGCTCTATACAGTGACGTACAGCTGTCACTTATTCAGACCAAAGCCTATAAGAAGACTGATACAAAACCCATAGAAAGGGCAGTGCCTGTGGCTCAGGGTAGGGCATCGGCTCCATATACCAAGGGTGGCAGGTTTGAACCCCGCCCCAGCTGAACTGCAACAAAAAATGGCCAGGCGTTGTGGTGGGTGCCTGTAGTCCTAGCTACTTGGGAGGCTGAGGCAAGAGAATCGCCTAAGTCCAGGAGTTGGAGGTTGCTATGAGCTGTAATGCCACCATACTCTACTGAGGGAGACATAGTAAGACTGTCTAAAAATAAATAAATGAGCTCTAAAACTCATAGAAAAGGGAAGAACAGATAAATTTAGAGTAGAACAACATTACTGCTTAGACTGGATTGTTTATAGGTAGTTACCATTTAAAGGAATCTCCTTTCTCTTTCAAGTCTTTTAGAATGGATATAGAGATCTGAGAGAAAAGAGAAATACGTTTTTCATATTATGTGTGGACATAAGGAGAGTCTAGTTGCTGTTTTTGGTCTCTGAAAACTTTTTTTCATTCTTAGCCTTCTTGAAGAGAGACCTTCTTCATTCCTTAGGTAGAGTAGTGATGTGATCTTTAACATTTGCTCTACAAAAACAATTAATGAAAAACAAAAAAGCAATTAGTGATCTGAAACGTGATTTTTTTTTTTTCTTGAGACAGAGTCTCAAGCTGTCGCTCTGGGTAGAGTGCCGTAGCATCATAGCTCACAGCAACCTCAAACTCTTGGGCTTAAATGATTCTCTTGCTTTAGCCTCCCAAGTAGCTGGGACTACAGGTACCCACCACAACACCCATCTATTTTTTTGGTTGTAATTGTCATTGTTGTTTGGCAGGTGCATTCTGGATTCAAACCCGCCAGCTCCAGTGTATGTGGCTGGTGCCCTAGCCACAGGGCTATAGGCACTGAGCCAAAACATGTGATTTTCAAATGTACCAATCTTGGTTGGGAATCAGAGATAGGGATTTAGGTTCCAGACAAGAAATTAGGATCCGAACTTCTTTTACAATGTGTTCCTTTTAAGCATGAATGCTTTGGGTGGGTATAAGCTATAGAGAATAATTGTCATGACCTAACTTTCCCTTATCCATATCCATGCAGAGGGGATTTCTACAAGCACAAAGTGAATTGTGGTCCTAAATAAGGATACAAAGTACAATTAAACAAAAGGAAAAAAAAGAGAGGAAAATATTCACAGAAGCTCTTGCAAATTGTCAAATGCCTTGTGGTCTCTGTAAGGTATTGATTCTCCTGATTCTGCACTTTCTCTGCCATGGAAGTAAGAGGTCAGTGCTTTTCATTTCCAGCTAGCATGTTAGTTACCCTACCTCCTGGGGTTAAACATCTCTGCAGTGACCTGTCAAAGGGTTGATTATTAGCTGTATAAAGCCAGGGAGCAGATGGGAAGTGGTTTGGCTGGTGCAGCCAGGCTGATTAAAGAATCCTTGGCAGTTTTACAGCGTATCATTGGAAATGTACCTCCGAATTTTTTTATCAATCCTGCTGGGTTGGAAAGCTGGATTTCTGAAAAGTCAGTGGTTGAAAAGTGGTACTTATGAAAACTCTTACTCTTTCAAAAATAGTGACTCTTAGAGAACATCAAGACCTAGATGTTCTCAGAATATGTTTTGTTCTCAATCCTCAGAATATGTTTTCTTTGCATCCTGATCAATCACAGAACCATTAGAAAAAGCACTTTTTGATGAGTGTATCAATAGAACTTTAGTTTGAAAAAGGCAAAGTTCATTTAGCCAAGTCTAGATTAACCCTATAACACATAGGGGGGTGTTTTGTGTGTTTACTTGACAGGTAATTATGCTTTTGTGCTCAAATACTTTTCAGTAATAAAGACGTGATTTTGTTAAATATTAAGGGTCATTGTTGGAAACCTCAAGTTATTAAATTTTTTCATGAGTAAAACATGTCTTTCTGTAGCTTCTACTTACTGATCATATTTCTGCCAGAGCATCACAGAATAACTCTTTTCCACACTATAACCCATTATATATTTGAAGCTAACCAGCCTGTCTTCCTTCAGTGTTCTCCTTTCCAGTGTAAAAAATCCCAGTTTCTGAGACTTTCCTCATATAAAATGACTTCCCAATCTTTTACCATACATTGCTCTAAAGGACATCCTTTCATTTAATGACTTCCACTTAAGATGCAGAATCTGGAAATGAGCGTAGACCATCAGATGTTCTTTTCATCTCCTTTTTTAAAGAAAGTATAATTAACAAATAAGTGGAATAGTGATAATACTTGCTAGAACAACCCAAAAAACAGTTTTGCATTACATATAGAATTGGAACACGAGGAATTTAAGCATCAGCTTTATCACTTAAGATTTATCTTTCCTTATTGATGTTAGGTAGAACTTCTTTTCTCCCAGCAAACACATCGCCTGTAAGATGGAACCTTTTGAGCTATATTATTTTTTTTTTTTAGAGACGAAGTCTCACTTTGTTGCCCTTGGTAGAGTGATGTGGTGTCACAGCTCACAGTAACCTCCAGCTCTTGGGATTAGGGCTATTCTCTTGCCTCAGCCTCCGGAGTAGCTGGGGCTACAGGCGCCCACCACAACGCCTGGCTATTTTTTGTTGCAGTTTGGCCAGGGCCGCGTTTGAACCCACCACCCTTGGTATATGAGGCCAGCACCCTACTCACTGAGCCACAGGCACTGCCGCTTGAGTTATATTATTAAAGTACTGATTTTTTTTCACATCTTTTTCAGGGATAATTTTTTTTTTTTTTTTTTGAGACAGAGTCTCAAGCTGTCACCCTGGGTAGAGTGCCATGGCATCACAGCTCACAGCAACCTCAAACTCTTGAGCTTAAGCGATTCTCTTGCCTCAGCCTCCTAAATAGCTGGGACTACAGGTGCCTACCACCATACCTCACTATTTTTTTTGTTGTTGCAGTTGTCATTGTTGTTTTTTACCTGACCTGGGCTGAGTTCAAAACTACCAGCCTTAGTGTGTATGGCTGGCACTCTACCCACTAAGCTATGGGCACCACCAATCCTTTAGAGGCAGAGTCTCACTCTGTCGTTCTGGGTAGAGTGCTGGGGCATTATAGCTCACAGCAACTTCATATTGTTGGGCTGAAGAGATCCTCTTGCTTCAGCCTCCTGAGTAGCTGAGATTATATTTTCTATTTAGTAGAGACAGAGTCTCACTCTTGCTCAGGCTGGTCTTGAATTGTGATCCACCCACTTTGGCCTCCCAGAGTGCTAGGATTACAGGCTTGAGCCACTGCACCTAGCCTCAAGGATAATTTTTAATATTAGTGTTGAATTTATCTTAGATTACAAGCTGCTACTGGTTTTTGTATTTATAAAAATTATTTACATTTTTGCGAGATTAAACTGATTTTAGTGCTTTAGGTAATTTTTGACAAGATAAACGTGTGCTCTTATATAGCTGAAAATACATTGTTTTTACACATGATGAACAATTTGGCTCAGTGTAAAATTCTTGACTTTTTTTTTTTTTTTTTTGAGACAGAGTCTGTCTCTGTCACCCAGACTAGAGTACCATGGGCTCAAGTGATCCTTCTGCCTCAGCCTCCTGAGTAGCTCAGCCTACAGGCACCTGCTATAGCACCTGCTAGTTTTTCTATTTTTAGTGGAGACAGTGTCTCACTCTTTGCTCAGGCTGGTCTCAAACTCCTGAGATCCTCTTGGAATCCTCTTGCCTCATCCTTCCAGAGTGCTAGGATTACAGGCCTGAGATGCCGTACTTTGCCTTAAGTAACCCCTTCTCTTCAGAATTCTGTAGATTGCCATTCTCTTTTAAAAACATTTAATATTACAGAGCAGTCTGAAGTCAGCCCAATTTTTGTCCTTTGTAATTTAAAAATATTTCCAAAATGGGGGTGGTGCCTGTGGCTCAAAGGAGTAGGGCGCTGGCCCCATATGCCAAAGGTGGTGGGTTTAAACCCAGCCCCCAGCCAAAAACTGCCAAAAAAAAAAACTTCCAAAATATATGCAGGTTTGACTTATTAAATTGATTTTACTGAAAATGTAATGAATCTTTTCAATCTGTATGAATGATCTTTGTTCAGTTTAAGGTGTTATTCATTTATTTTGTCTTTGATAGGTTGCTTTAATTCCATTTGTTCTAGTATCTTATAAAGTTTTCTTAAAGTGTTATTAAATGCTTAATCTCTCTCAATTTCTGTCATTATTTTCTCTTCACTGTTTTCCTTTGCAAACTGGAAAACTATCTTAAGTTCTCTTATAATACACTGATTTATTTTCTATAATTTTAGCTCTGTGCTTTTCTGATTTTTATATGAATTTTAATTAATACAACATTTTCCTTTCCTTTTTTTTTTAATGTTGTGTCCTTTTTTTTCAAGTAAGATGTATCTTTCTATTTTAACTTGTTATCTTTTTAATGTTCTCTCTTCCTTACTGGCATACTTTGTTTGTCCTGCTTTATGCAGCAGGTCAGCCAATACAGTAGAGTAAGGACTGTTTGAAGCTTTCAGCGCTAACATTTTTTATGTGTTACATGCTTTCCTTCTCCAGTGTCTCTCTTCCATTACTACCTTGTTTTCTAAAGAAAGCGCTTTGGGATCTAAAGAAAGGTTCATTGTTTTTTGTTTTGTTTTGTTTTGTTTTTGTCAAGACAGAGTTCTACCCTATGCCCTGAGCAGAGTACAATGGTGTTGTAGCTCACTGCAACCTCAGATTTGGGCTGTGGGCCTCCTTCTGCCTCAGCCTCTGAAGGGGCTGGGTTTTTTCAATTTTTTTCATGAGTCAGGGTCTCACTCTCGCTCAGACAAACCTCGAATTCCTGAGCTCAAGCAATCCTCCCGCCTCAGCCTCCCACAGTGCTGGGATTACTGGCATGAGCCACTGTGCCCAGCAGTTTCATTGTTTCTCTAAGAATAAAGTGATATGGGGTTGTTTTAATGGTTAAATTACATACTGAGAATAGTGGGTAAGCCTTAGATTAATGTGGGTTACACTCTAAGCCTAGCCATGATTGAAAAGATTGCAGAGGCAATAACATTACGATTTTGAAAAGAACTGTGCTCTAATAATTCTTCATCATGGAGATTCAGTTGGCATTTCTTTCTGGTTTTTTTTTTTTTT